GCTGGTCCGCCTCCTGCCCGCGGCCCGGCCTCCCTCCTTCCAGCCGCCTGGCTCCGCACTCCTTCGCCCCGAGTTCTCCATTCCCTGGATCCCGGGCTCGCGGGGGCGCGGAGAAGAGGATCGAGGAAAGGTTTGGGAACTTGGTGGGTTTGGGGCTTTTTTTTTTCTTTTTAAGGGGGGGAGGACAAGTCTCCCGCCACCACCCCCACCCTCCACCGCTCCAAGGCCCCCGATTGTCCTGCCTCTCACTTACTTCCTCACTCCCTTTTTCTACCTTAGACATTCCCAGGACAATTAGGGCTGAAGTTTTTTGGTGGAAGCGTCCCCAAAGCTCGTGAGATTAGGGGGCGGCCCTGCTCCGCCCAAGACCCCTCCTGGACTTGCCCCCCCGGCCGCCCGGGTTGGCTAAAGGGCGCGTCACTCCGCGGGGAGGCGGCGGCGGTGGCGGTGGCGCCGGGGCGGGCCAAGCGCCAGGACCGGCCGGGGCTCCGAGTTCAGCTCCCGTTGGGGGAGGGGAGGTACTGCCAGTCCCCCTGCACCGTGCAGTCTGCCCCTGGACTCTGGAAGCGCCACTCGGCCCCGGGCTTGGCTAGTCCCGGGATCCCTGGACTCTGTGTCTTGGCAGGAGTCGAGGGGCTGTGCGCAGAAGCCTCCTGGTGACTGTAGTGGCGTCCGGCTGGGACTCGGTGACAGAGTCACCGTCTGTGGCTGCCTGACCACTCTGGAGCTTGGCTCCGCTATCCCGCACTTAGAGGGCATGGCACCCAAACTTTTCGCTCCATGTCCATCTTCCAGTGCTGGGATGCTCCTTCCCTACCTGCGCCCCAGCAAGCCTCCCCCCGCCCCCGACCCTCTACTCTTGACGCTGGCTCGGGCGCCCGCGAACCTGGGGCTGGATCCTCGGCCCAGCCCAACTCTTCCCCATTGCGTCTCGAGTGTCCTCGCTCCGACGTGCCCGAAGGACAAACTTAACTTTGAGCGAGTGCGGGTTCCAGACACAGAGTCCCTTTCTAATCTTGAGACCGGGAAAGGAGATGACCCTTAAGGACGCCTCACTTCGGGAGCGCCCTAGAGGGGGAGCAGTGCCCCAGCCAGTTCGCGCGAAGTGGGCACCGAGATCTCTAGCGAAGCCTCGGGAACTTAGGCCCCTGAGTGATCCACGCTCCTTAATGGCCCTTTTTTTTTTTTTTCTTTTAGCATCTTTCATCTCTTAAAAATCGAACTCTTTTGTGTGGATTTGACTGTTTCTATTTTCCTGCTGCTGACTTGAATGCTTTTCTTGGTGTAACTTCTGCCTTCCTTCTTCTTCCTCACTCCCCTCGTATTTTACCTCTCCTCTGCCCTCTCTCAGTGCCCAACCTCATGCATACTCCCTCGCCACCTCCCTTCTCTTTCTCCCCAGGTCGTGTTGGGTACAGTAGATTTTGATAAAAAGATAAACGAAGCTATCAGTGGGGCTGATGTTGAAGAATGAAGATAATAATGTTTCCATTTGGGGTTTCAAATGCCATTATTTCTCACTGAATATTTAAAGAGATCCCTCGGCAAAGATAGATCTGCGCGCTCCTAGGGTTTGAGCAACTCGCTTGCCACAGACCCCCGGGAACGTGCGCAGGAGCGCAAGTCAGTCTCACGCAGCATCCGGAAAGCCGCTGCCTCATTTGAGAACCGGACAACCTGCACTCATGCAGAACCGCGAGCGCATCCTGGTGCATGTGCGCACTCGCTCCCCCGAAAAGGTTCACTTTTGGAGGCGCCCGCATCTGCCTCTTCCAATCGTGGCGTCTTTGAAAGTCTGGGCCGCCAGAGCACCGCGTGCAGCCAGGAACCGAGCTGAGCTGGCGATCCCGCAAACCTGAGTTCGCAGTGCGCAATGCAGACGCTGTGGGGAAGCGCCCAGAAAGAGCTCCCCTGTTCCTAACTTGCTAACTATGGAATGGAGATTCCTCCTCCCTCAAATCTTTCCTTCCAACTCCCCTCCTCAAAAAATCCTCACCAAAACAACCAGTCAAATGCAATGCACACGCACCAGCCAGCCGTTCCACGAGGTTTAATTAAAATGAAGAGGCAGGGACGAATTAATTGGGGGAATCCAAATTTGAATAACTTTTTCGTTCTTTGGCGTCCTCGACGGCATAGAGACGAGTTTTTCGCTCTGCGCATCGTACGCCGTGCTAATTTTTTGTTTGTTTTCTTTGCCTCGGTTATTCTGCGAGGGGAGAGCAGGGGTAGAGAAGGCTGGGGAGGAGGGGAATGGTTGGAATGGAGGGGAGGGGAGAATTGGTCTTTTACCATTGAAGGCAATACATCAATTACCGGCCATTGTCTGTGGCCGAAGTTTTGGGGTTCGCTGACGGCGGCGCCACAGTGTCCAGGAGCTCGCTGGCAGGAATCCGCATACTGCGACGCAACTAGTTACATAAATGCAAACCTGTGAGGTTTAAGGTTGTATTTTTTTGAGCAGGTCAGAGAATGCAGTGAGTACGAGTGAGCAGCTACAGTCAAGAGACCTGTCGTCACAGGGTCGCGTCAGCCCAGCCCAGCCTGGTGGCCGCTACTGCGAGAATTGGGCAGATGGGGCGTGGGCTTGCGGGTCTTCCAGAGGACTGGGGGCTTCGAGGCTGATTCGCTATTCGGAATGAGGTGGCCTAAAGTGAGGCCTTGGCTGCGCCAGGGTCATGACCTAGCAGGAGGAAAGGGGTGCTCCTGGGGGAGGCGCTTGGAAAATTTTGCAAACTTCTTTCTTGGGGGTTTGATGCACGTATTTCTACGTATACATCTCGGTTTTCCCAAGACACAGAGCGTCGTGGGTGGGTTGGCGGAGCCCAAGGGCTGTGCCCTAAGGCCATGAGCCACTCCACCCTTCTCTGAGAAGGACTTCTGGATTTCTTTTTCTTCCTTATTGATCCTAGGAAGGAGAGGAGATAACTTCCCTTCTCAAGGTCTGCTTCTTCTTCTCGCCAAACTATCTCATTCTGACCCTCTCTGACCCCCGGGTCAGGGACAGGGCCTGGCCTGAGTCCTAGGCCCTTTACTCTGTTTCTCGGGAGCGGACTGCTGCCCTCCCCGGGAATTGGAGGGCGCCCCCAGCACTCGCCCCCGCCCCTCCTTGCTCTGCTGTCCGGCTGGTGCCCGATCGCACCTGGGGATCGCACCCCGGCAGAGGCGAGGATCGCAGCAGCAAAGCTTTCGTTTTGTTTGGCGGCGAAAAGGCAGTGGCAGCACCCAGGGGGCGGGGAGGAGGCACCTCGATGGTATCACCACTACTGATGGGGAAACGCTGGAAGCTGGAGCCTGGAGATCAGGTTCTCAGTCCCTCCCCTCCGGGGGAAGTGGGTGGAACAGAACCCGTGGCATTGCGTGGGGTGGGTGTGCGTGTGGATGTTGGGTGTGCGGTAAGTGGGGGAGATGTGACTTGAGGCTGCTGAAAGCACCACTCTCACCACCGGGGTTTGCTATATTTTCATTTTCTGACAGGTGGGGGGAAGGGTATGGGGAAGAGGGGTTGAAGTCTGTGCTGTGGTCCCCACGTCTCCGAAGTTGGGGCTGACTTGATGAGGAGAGAGAAAAATGACATAAAGCCAAGACAAAGTTTGGAGTTCATCATAGGTTCTTTTCCAAGCCTCTGCACACCTTGCCGGGAGTTTCAGGAACTCCTTCCCTACCCAATCAGCTTTCTTGCAAATTCTAATCGCTCCTCCGCCGACAGAGCAGCTTCGAACCCGAGGCGCTGGGAGCGTGGAGGCCGCGGGAACAGGCTGGACTGGAGGACTTCGCCTGATGGACGCTCGTCCTGTCCTCGCTGCGCTCCCCGCGCGCGCTCCTTCCCTCGCGGCCGTGCCTGAGTCACAAACAGGAGCACTTTCTGGGGGTCGATAGGCGCCCACCATCCGGGACTGTCTCCAGACCCGCGCGGGGTGCAGCTCAGGAACGAGGTGCCCTGGCGCCAACTCGGGAAAATGAGCCGAGGGCGGGCTTGCTAACGACTGCTCACACGCCAGCGGCGCGTTGCATAAGGCCTGCCCCCGCGGTGAAGTTTGCATTTCTTCCCTTGCAGGGCTGTCCTGTGCTGGTATTTAGAAATTAATTCAAAAGTGACTGCAAATGTCTGCAATTTTTACTTTCAGTTCACACTGAACGTCTTGCCCTTAAATTCCCTGCGCCCCGCACGCCAACAGTGCCTCGCTCAAGGGTCTCTGGGTATTAAATTCCTCCCAAAGG